TGCCCAATCCTGGTCCTGCAGAATTTAGCTCCAACCCATATCTAATACATCTGATCTTGGTAATGAAGGGTCTTCAGGATCTCTCCTTCATCTTCAGGACCAGAATTGGGCACCCCTTGTTGACAGTTGCACCAATAAATTAAGACTTTTTAACCAGTAGTAGTAGTAGTAGTAGTAAATAATAATGTGGCGGCACAGTGGCGCAGTGGGTAGCGCTGTCGCCTCACAGCAAAAATGGCCTGAGTTCGATTCCCGGCTGGGTCGTTTCTGTGTGGAGTTTGCCTGTTCTCCCTGTGTCTGCGTGGGTTTCCTCCGGGTACCCGGTTTCCTCCCACAGTCCAAAAACGTGCAGTCAGGCTGATTGGACATGCTGAATTGCCCCTAGGTGTGAGTGTGTGTGTGTGACTGTGTATGTCTGTCTGTCTGCCCTGTCCATGGTGTATCCTGCCTTCCGCCCAGTGACAGCTGGGACAGGCTCCACCGCAACCCAGGATAAGCGGTTTAGATGATGTATGTATGTATGTATGTATGTATAATAATAATGTGTGAGAAAGCGGTCCTGGTGACCACATTGCTGAAACAAAGTCCCTTAAATGTGCAGGAAAGTGTCACCCCCACCACCATCTTCCTGCAGCAGGTGCCTCAGAATGTTCTTTTTCCTGGTCAACACAAGTACCAGTGGTGGTGTGCCCCAGGTACTTCCAACACCTCCTCAGGAGGCACAGCGAGGTCTCCTGCTCATGGGGCCGGTACAGGTTAAGTCTGGCCCTATGAACAATAACTGCCATTGTCTGCTGCCTTGCCCAGACCTGATGCACCACCTCGCCCAGGCATTCTTTTACCACACAGGGGCCCTCCCAAGGTGACTGCAGCATTTGCCCTTGTCAGTGGCATACTGTGCTCCATTGACGCTGTCCTCCTCCAACCCCAGCGGGCTCCCAAGGACCAGTTTATGGGCGTCCTGAACTCATGGCTGACCATAAGGGGAGCCAGTGTGAATCCAGTTGACTCCTTGCATAGCAGAGTGACATGCCACTAGGACCAAGGGCAGGTGTCATTCCCAGTTGTGCCGGTGCTGGTCAGTGACAACAGCCAGCTGAGAAGTGAGCATTCGGTTAAAACGCTCCATGAGGTCGGGAATGGAGCAGCGTGGTCCAAGTCTTTTGAATGTCCAGCTGGTTGCAAACCTCCGCCATGACTGCCGACTCAAAGTTGCGCCCCCGGTCACAAGAATTCATCTACCAGCCGCTCCGCTGTCGTCTCCTAAATCTCCTAATAAAATCAAGGCAGTGCACAAAACTAAGGCTAGTGTGAGCAATCTGAGGTGAGTATCCTCGAGCTAGCCTCCCTTTACTGAACCTTTCCCATACCTCTTATAGGCTTAGCCCCACCCCTGCATCACCTGAGCTAAACCATTCCACTCTGCAGGGGTGTTGCTGTCCTATAAAAGTGGATTAAAACAAGGGTAAATAAAATCATAATCGATATCATAAGGCCTTAACATATTATATTACCAGTAAGGTGTTTCACTACAGTGCGCACATTTATTAACCTGTCTCACTGTTTTCTGTGACTTGTTGGACATCACCCCTCCCATGAGCTAGCCATGGGTCCTCCGGCACACTCGTGAGTGAGCTCTGTCTGATCTGCCTCCCTTTTGCTGACTCTGCTACAGAACAGACAACAGGTAAGTATTACAGGTAGGTATTCAGGTAAGTATTACACACACACACACACACACACATACACAGTCTCTGGTGATGGGCAATGCGTTTGCCTCATCACTCAGACCAAACGGCCTCAGAAAAAACTGTGAAAATGTTATACTGGCATTTCTATCGAGAATACACAGTACTTTTTATAAAGGGTATATGAACCAGTATATGCTTGAACGAGGCTTGTGTTTGGTCCGATACCCTTTTTCTGAGGCCGTTTGGTTTGATGTTCAGTTAACACCAGATCTGAGACGTCAGACGCACAGAGACGACGCACAGACGCACAGACTGCTGACCCGCCGCTCCAGCGCTATCTTTCTGCTAAGTTTCTAAATCAACCAAAAACGGTAAGTTCCTGCAATACCATGGCTACTGCTGGTTTCTTTGCCTGCTCAGAGTGTGGCATGTTTAGTTTAATCCCCTTTTCCACCTCTAGCGATAATGATAGTGGCTGTGTTTGTGCTAAGTGCCAGCTAGTTAGCTCCCTGGTGGAAAAGGTGGACCAGTTAGAGGTGCGCATCCCGGATTTATTAAGGGACAGACAGCGAGATTCACCGCTAGCAGCCCTGGGTGTCTTAGGGAGAGTCAGCACCCCCTCGACTCCGGCGTTAGAGCCCTCACAGCGGGGTGAATGGGTGACGTCTCGGCGACATAGCCGGAAAGCTAAGGCTAATGCTAACGCTGAGGCCAAAGCTAGCCCACCAGAACACCACGCTCCTCCGATTCACGTGTCAAACAGGTTTGCCCCGCTCAGCGAAACACCCGCTGAGGAGCCTGTTAAAAGTGCTCTGGTTATAGGAGACTCGATCGTTCGACACGTGAAATTAGCTACTCCTTTAGGGGCGCCAGCAGTGACAGTTAGCTGTTTACCGGGAGCCAGAGCGCCGGACATTAGCGGCAACCTTAGACTGTTGGCTAATAAGAGATATTCGAGGATAGTCATCCATGTAGGGGCCAATGATATTCGTCTGCGGCAGTCTGAGGTAACTAAGGGTAACATTAGAGAGGTGATTAAACTGGCCCAGACGATGTCCGTTGCCGTAATCTGCTCTGGTCCCATCCCAATGCGGCGCGGCGCTGAAGCCTACAGCAGACTCTCAGCGTTAAACTGCTGGATGTCCAAGTGGTGTTCGGAAAATAAAGTGGGCTTTATAGATAATTGGTTACATTTCGAGGGCAAGCCTGGTCTTATAGGTAGGGATGGTGTCCACCCCACGCGGGAGGGTGCTGCCTTACTTTCTTGCAGCATAGCACATAGCCTTTTAGTTAGTCGGCAGAGTAGTGTAAACAGCTGCTGACAATCCAGAGCCGGGACCAGGCCGCAGACAGACAGTCTAAACCGACCGTCTGCGAACCGCCTTGAGGCGTCACCTAGGATCCACTATATTGAGACTGTGTCTTTGCCCCGAATTAAATCAAAATCTAAATGTAGAAAAACTCAATCAGCCCGCCTCAATAACCTAATCAATATTAAATCATATTTAGATGATAGCAGCAACACCTCAGTTCTAAAATTTGGGTTATTCAATATAAGATCACTAAACTCAAAAGCAGTCATCGTAAATGAAATAATAAGTGATCATAAATTTGACGTTTTCTGTCTCACTGAAACATGGGTTAGACAGGATGAATATTCAGCACTAAATGAAGCCACCCCTATAGGCTATAATTATGTACACAGCCCAAGATTATCAGGCAAAGGAGGTGGATTATGTGTAATCTACCAGAATACCCTAGATATCAGACAGAAACAGTGTGACACTTTCACTTCTTTTGAGGTTCTTTCTATCAACATTACAAATCCGGCCACAAAAAAGAACGCATTTTCATTATTTAACATTTACAGACCACCAGGGCCCTACACAGAATTTTTAAAAGAATTTAGTGATTTCGCTGCAAACCTAGCTGTGTGCAATGATAAAGTAATAATTGTAGGAGATTTTAATATCCATTTTGAGAAGGCAGATGACCCACTAAAAAAGGCATTTACTTCAATCCTAGACTCTGTTGGTATTACGCAAAATGTAACAGGGCCTACACACTACTGTAGTCACACTTTAGATCTAGTTCTGACACTTGGACTTGACATAGACAGGCTTAATATCCTACCGCAAACCTCAGTAATCTCTGACCATTACTTAATTTCTTATGAGCTACGTCTTAGCCATAATATATGTACGTCCCCTCACTATTCTACAAAGCGCTCAATAAAACCATTTACCGCCCTGCAATTCATAGAAAACCTCCCAGAACTAACAACCCTAGTCTCCACTCCATCAGACCCAATGGAGCTAGATGTACTAACCGACTATTTAGAAAGTACCTTTCGATCTACTTTAGAAAATGTGGCGCCACTTAAAATCAAAAGGATAAGACAGAAAAAGCTTGCCCCATGGTACGATGATAAAACCCGTACCTTAAAACAAACAGTACAGAAACTAGAGCGGAAATGGCGATCAACCAAGCTAGAAGTGTTCCACTTTGCCTGGAAGGAAAGCCTTATAGAGTATAGAAATGCTCTCACTAAAGCTCGCTCAGCATATCTGGCCTCGCTGATCGAGACTAATAAATATAATCCTAGAGGACTGTTTAGTGTGATTTCCAGAATTACAAAAAATCAGGCAGGCACTGAACCACAAATTCCGGCGACTCTCACCAGTGATGTTTTTATGGACTTTTTTAATAATAAAATTGAAAATATTAGACAACAAACTCAACCCACAGTATTAAATCCAACTTGGCTGTCATCTGATGTGGCTGATATAAAACATAACGTAGTTGCAGAGGAAAGGCTGAAAACTTTCTACTCACTACCACAGTTAGAACTAGAGAAGATTATCTACTCTGCAAATTGTACAACCTGCACACTTGATGCAATCCCCTCAAAATTACTCAAAGAAGTGCTACCAGTTATCATTAATCCTCTTTTAACTATAGTAAACTCGTCCCTTAGCCTGGGCCATGTACCCAGAGCTTTTAAACTAGCAGTTATTAAGCCTCTGATCAAGAAACCAAACCTTGACGCTAGCGTATTGTCTAATTACAGGCCTATTTCTAACCTACCATTTATATCTAAGATCTTAGAAAAAGCTGTAGCCCAACAACTTAGTTCATATCTAGATAAGAACCACATATATGAAAAATTCCAATCTGGATTCAGGCCACATCACAGCACTGAGACAGCTCTAGTTAAGATAACAAATGATCTTCTTGCCTCTGATCAAGGCTACGTATCCCTGTTGGTACTACTTGACCTCAGCGCAGCTTTCGATACGATAGACCACTATATTCTCCTAGAAAGGTTAGAAAACATGGTTGGAATCACAGAGACAGCCCTATCGTGGTTCAAATCCTACTTAACGGAACGTTATCAGTTCGTAAAGGTAAATGATTCATCTTCCAGTTATTCACAAGTAAGATTTGGAATTCCGCAAGGCTCTATTTTAGGACCATTATTATTTACATTATACATGTTACCGTTAGGCACAGTTATAAGTAGCCATGGCATTAACTTTCACTGTTACGCAGACGATACGCAATTGTACATATCAGCCAAGCCTGATGACAAATACAGGTTAAAGAAAATAGAGGACTGTGTAAAAGATGTGAAAGGCTGGATGTTACGTAACTTCCTCCTTCTAAACAGCAACAAAACAGAGGTTCTTCTTCTGGGTCCAAAAGTGGCAAGAAATAAATTACCAGATTTAATTTTAAATCTTGCTGACTTTCCAGTTATACCTGGTTCAGCAGCAAAAAACCTTGGCATCATAATTGATCCAGATTTATCATTTGATCAACACATAGGCAGTATCACTAGGACAGCTTTTTTACATCTTCGCAACATTGCCAAAATAAGAAATGCCTTATCGCTGCGTGATGCAGAAACATTAGTACATGCCTTTATTACTTCAAGGCTAGACTATTGTAACGCACTACTGTCAGGATGCACCAGCAGGAATTTAAGTAAACTTCAACTAGTTCAAAATGCTGCAGCCAGGGTTCTCACTAAAACCAGAAAATTTGATCATATCAGTCCAGTTCTATCATCACTTCACTGGCTGCCTGTTAAATTCCGTATCGATTACAAAATTCTTTTATTGACGTATAAAGCCCTACATGGACTCGCTCTTGAGTACCTGCAAGACCTTATTTCCCATTATGAGCCACCACGATTACTCAGATCACAGAGTGCTGGCTTTTTAATAGTTCCCAAAATTCAGAAGGTTTCAGCTGGGGGAAGAGCCTTTTCTTATAAAGCCCCCAAACTCTGGAATGATCTTCCAGAAAATGTTCGGGACTCAGACTCAGTCGCAATCTTCAAATCTAGGCTGAAAACTCACTTGTTTAGTTTAGCTTTTGGTAGTTAATGTTCCCCCTTAGATAAAGGCAGCAGATCCAGGGGTCCATGGACGCAGGGAATTATAGTAAACTGAGACGCTGGTGCTGTTGTCCCGCCGCTCGCACGCGATCACTCAGGTTTGTGGACGGTGGAGTGGAGGGATGCCAGATTGTTTCAGGGTGCTCCCGTGTCTGTCTGCCCTTTTGGTTCTCTCCTTTTAGTTAAGCTGTTATAGTCAGATTTACCGGAGTGGTTAGCCACACTCTGGAAATGTTCACATTCTCTGTTTTACATACACTCAAACAAAATAAAACTAATTCCATCTCCCTTCCTTTTTCCGAGTAAACGACTGCCCACCTGCCGGACGGACACTGATGGATGATTGTCTGTGGAGCTCTCCTGCTATCCGCTTCAGACCAGTTGCCCACGCCCCAGTCGCCGCCACTTGCCCAGCTACCGCCACTTGACTTGGACTAGCTGCACTCTCCCACTCTGCACTGAAGTTTTTCGTGGACTCCTAACTACTACTACTACTACTATTAATATTAGGAGTATAATAATTTTGTAGGTAGTTTGACCAGAGGAGGATGGGTCCCCCATGTGAGCCTTGGTTCCTCCCAAGGTTTCTTCCTCAGCTCTGAGGGAGTTTTTCCTTTTTTTTTTTCCCCTGGCTTGCTCACTTGGAGGATTTACATTTCATGTTAAAACTTTGTCTTTAATGGATTTCTGTGAAGCTGCTTTGTGACAACATCAGTTGTAAAAAGCGCTATACAAATAAATTTGATTTGAATAAATTTGATCTGAGACATGACGATGGTTTCCCCTATGTACCCCATAGCCCCGCCTAGTGTTAATTAACATATATTTGCATGTTGGTGAACTTGAAAACGAAAAAGCAAAGTGAGAAACGAAAAGTAAATCACCAGCAGATGGCGCCAGTGTTCGTTTGCATGTGCCTTTTTATTCTGACACTTAAACTCGTCCACACCGAAAACTAAATCACAAAGTGTCACTTTGCTGTTGATTTATCTGTTTTCATTTTTATTTTGTCAGATATGCAGCCTGTTACTATGAAAAAGAAATAAGAATGTAAGCATTGCATTTTGATTTTAGTTTTGACACATATTACACATTTCATGAAGAAAAGGCAAAGCCAAAATAAAGCTTGGATTTTCTTTTCTATATTAGCTTTTCCATTTTAGATATGGCCATGAAATACCAGAATAATGACTAAAATGAAATGACAAATAGCTGTTTTAAATTTATTTTAAATTTTTGTCACAAATGACTCGTGCTCATGTGAAAAATGAAATTGCAAATGTAGGTATTTCATTTTCAATTTTGGCAAAATATTTGAGCAGATGTTTGGAAAAAGAAATGGCAAAAAGAGGTTTGCATTTACATTTTGTTTTAATTTTAATTTCTTTTTTGGCCGGATTTGCCTCCCATACCTATCTCTACTGCATCAACGTTTGAAATCCGTGTCACTGGCCTAGCTATGTAGTTACTGACGCCTACATTGTTACCACAGCAACCCTTGGAGATAGGCTGATGTCTGGACACACAAATCCTATCACTTGCAAATAACAGTGCGGTCAGTTGTCTCAAAAGATCTAAAACAGATCTAAACATTCTGAAGAAATTCTGAAGGAGAAGCAGGTGAGGAGTTTCACTTTTTATTTGTTATATGTGCAGTTCACTCACTGCAGTCATTTGCAAAAGTTTGGGTGATCAAACTATGTTTTGTTGATTTTGAACATCCACTACAAAGAACACACTTATGCACATTTTAATGCACAGTTTCTGTTTATTTTTGATGAATTTAACATATTGAGGAAAAAAATGTAATATGTGGCATGTTAAACTCGACAAATAAAAAAGTTGTGCATTAGCTTTGCAGACAATTCCATGTTTAAGTTTGTTCCCTGTGGAAGATGTGTGAACTTATTTTCAGAGAATCAATAAATAAAGTTTATAGCGTGATTTACTAAACCATCAGTTATTTAAATAATAAAGATTTAAAGAAAGAAAAGTAAACACACTGATTTTCCTATTTGCAGTGCCACAGTGAAAAGAGACATTTCAACTTTGTAAAGTACTTTATAGAGTGAATAAAAAGAAACCAAATACAGAGGAAAGGAAAAATAAAAATGGAATAATACACTAAATTTGGGTTAATATGGGCCAATGTTGGTAGTTTTTTTTCTTTGTTTTCTTTTATATTTGTAATAGTAGAACTTTCCTCCCATAGTCTTTCACAAGACATACAGCATACTAATGCAGTATTCTTGAATAGCTCTGTTATTATGTCCATCTAATGGTAATTCAATAAAAAATAGAATGCAGAATGAATACATGTATTGTCTGTCTTGTAAATAGTGCTTTTGTTCCTTTTTGTATGAGTATCATTAACAGGAAATGAAGGCTAGCAAGGATGGTACTTCACTGGACCCTGGCACCACTGCAGGATGCTGACTGGATGATGTATTCTGTATGTATACCCCCTAGATGTCAGCCCATATTGGTAGCTACACTTCACAACATTTAATCTGTCAGCAAATTAAGGCTGGGGGTATAATAGTAATAATGTATTGTGGCATCAATGAAGAACCTTTATTGAACAGGCAGCAAGAGTGAACTGCCACTGAGCACTGCTGAAATGACTGAGATTCCAGTCATTTCACTTCAGACACCAGTGTGGCACCCGTAAAGAAGACCATGCAGGAGACATTACACTTTAAAGGCGAATACTCTTATTGAACAGGCAGCAAGTTAGAACCGCTGCTCAGTACTGCAGAAACAAACGAGATTGCAGGCAGGTCACTTCTAACCATACAACTCTCTTTCATGGTAGACAGTAAATCCACGCAAACTACCCCACAGACCGGCATCATAGCACATCTTTAACCTAGGAACAACAACTTATATACATTAAATGTCTTTCCTACCGCAAATGTGGCACTTTCAAAAGCCT